ATATATACATATATATATATTATATATAATTATAAAACTTTAACCCTTTTGTAACATGTTGAGCAAAAGGGTATCTTTCTCAAATATTTCACTACTGTTGATACAAAATGTTACATTACAAAGGTTTTCATTACATACAGAACATACACATAAACTATAATAGGTATAGTTTAGGAAACTTACATACTATTCTGCTAAGTCGGATAACAATACAAGAACAAACATATAAACTATAATAGGTATAGTTTATGGAACATACATACCATGTTTTCACTATGAAAAGAGTAATACAAATGATTTATCATTACTAAATGGCTTTTCATTATTCTACACGTAACCGTCAATATAACTTTGTGATACATACCTTCAAGTAATTATCTAAGTGTCAACGAAAGCCCTGATTTTATAACCAAAGTCTCCTGGAGGGAGAGCATGAATTTGTGTATAGATCTATACGGGACTAAAAATCCTGCACCTAAACTGTTAGCTACAGTTAGGCCGGCAGGTATGGGGTGACAAATGTCATAATGATTCCAATGCTTGAAGAACATTGTATCAGGTCACCCTAGGTCATCAAGCAAGTTATAATAACTCACAAGTTGGTATTAATAATACGATTAGTGTATGAATACAAAAACAACTTCACATAGTTTTATTTAATAATAAAACTACAAAACAATATTTTATAATACGGCTGGTGGATCCAGGAACATACATACCAACTAGTAAGACATAAAGGACCCTTATTGCTAATTCTATGATTTTTGAGTTTATACATCAGGTTAATATATAAATGAGATCCGATAGGCAATGGAATGTGTGATATCCGCTTTACTTCATGTTCCTTGTTTGGTTGTGGGCTTAGGGTAGGATCACACATTCGACTGTTTGTTCGATCTTGATTATAAATGATTGTATACACTAAGGGATCATAGGAGGATCAGATATGGGTCATACCATTACATACAAGTACAGTATACTATTTTCTAACATAAAAACTTACCTTTGTAGATGAACATTTATCCAGGAATATACATACAAAAGAGTTGCATAGAAATACAACTACAATACATTACTTATCAAGTACAATGCAAATTACATTTCTAAAAGGACCATTAATGTTAACTCTGTAATTACCTAGTGAATAAGTTAGGGTTACATACAATGAAGATCCGATAGGCAATGGAATGTGTGATATTCACTTTACTTCATGTTCCTTGTTTAGTTGTGGGCTTAGGGCAAGATCACACATTCGATTGTCTGTAGCTATTATATATAACTTGTATTCACTAAACGATTGTAGAAGGAACTTGTATGGGTCACATTACTTACATTTCATTTACTAAGAAAATATTGGATTTTCTGGAAGAACGCACTAACGTTTTCTAAGAACAATGACAAGCTTTCCATCACAAAACATATTTATGAACTCACCAACTTAAATGTTGATACACTTTCAAAACCACTTGTATTCTCAGGGAACCAGTAGACAGGTACACGTACAGGTTTCGGGAAGACAGAGCATAGTAGCTCTAAGTCTTTGTTTTTGCTATATACTTTTGAAGCCAATCAAATTATGATTTGAATAGAATATAAACATTATATTATCAACACAATGGTTTTTGTTACTTTGATTACTATTATGCAATTGTTGTGATATTGTACATGACGTCCTTCTCCCCCGAACGTTTCCGTCGTTCCGGTTTGGGGGTGTGACAGAATCTTTGCCCGGGATCTTACTGCCTTTATATAAAAGTATTTTAGATATCACAACTTATCCAAAATTTTCTTATATTTGATTCTATCATTTTATTTAGATACACATTGGCATTGAAATCCTTCAGGTTTTAGGTATTACCAACCAGGACCAAGATTTTGCCAAAGTCTGGTTTATGATTTTATTTAAAATACCTGTACATGAATGAAACCCAACCTTAGCCTTGGTTCCTATAGAAGTGTGTTCCATGCTTGATACTCATGTTTGATGTTTGAAATTTGAGGAACATGCGAAGTTACCATTAAAGTAGTAGGTGGTTGATTATTGTTGCTTTCTCTTTAATTGGGACAACTCCTCATGACTTTTACACATGGCGGGCAGATGTCTCTTCAATTTTCAACTTTCCACGTGGGATTATCTTACTATTGAATGGTTCAAATTCAAATTTGATGCCATTTATAAAAGGGGTTTGATGATTCTTATTCAGTGTTTTCCAATCTCCATCTTTCTCTCAATAACCATAACCCTAAATTGTTCTAGTTTTTTGCACAAGTCTTTCTTTAAATCATAATCATGTTTCATATAGATCAGTTTAATACAACCGATGATGAAAGTTTCATTCCTCAGATGAAGATATAGTCTAACAATTTCTGGTTTAATCATGATCTTGCTGCCTATCCTGAAGAATTGAAGATGTTAGTTCAATGCTTCAATGATTTTGTTATGCATCACTTTTTAACTACTTCTTTTGCAGTATCGATGAAGTGGTTATCCTTGGCTTGTTCAACTATTGTGTACAACAAGTATCGTACTTTGATTATGTTTCATATGGAAACGAAAAACAAGAAGAACCTCACGAAGAAACAATTTACTAGATTTCTGAAGCTTGAATTTGATGGTCCATTCGAAACTCCATCGCTTGATCAAGTTCTCACTATGTTGAATGAAATGGGGTATTATCCTCTTATTACTCTTATCAGTGCATTAAGGAAGTCCAATCTACCATAGATGTGGGTGTTTTTTCTTCAGAGTGTTTCTTCACTTTTTATCTGGAAGAAATTTTCGACTCGATAGGACAAAAATCCAGGTTTATTCTCTCTTATCATGAATACATTATCATATGAATGGGAATAATTCATCATTGCTATGAGAAGAATTTACTACTTATGTTAGTCATGCGAAGAAGGCAACTGAGATTACAAGTACACGATTTTGGAGTTTAGTGATAATTAAAGCCTATCAATAAGCACGTATTAAAGTTCCATATAGAGTGGATGTAGTTGTGTTTTCTCATCTCCACATTCCTAAAAGTCTAGTAAGATGATCCTAAAGTTTTTCTAGTGATTGGTAGAATTCCTGATGCAATGCTTGAGTTGGTACCATGATCAAATCCTATTCTGATTTGATATTGAGAAATGTTTGTTAAAGTCTATAAAGTTTTGACTACCAAGAATTATAAGTCCAAATCCAAGGGAGGTGATGTGATTACAGAACCTTCTAGGAGGATCAACAACAGAAGAAGCGAAAAGTCGCTGGTATGTTAAAAACAATGCATAGCAAGAAGCCAACTAACAAATCAATCAAGAAGAAGAAAAATACAGTCAAGTTTATTGTGCTTAGTAATCGTGATGATGATGAAGCTACTGACACAGAAGATGGGGATTTTTCTAAGGGAACATCTTCATAATACAATCATCATGTGATTACAGATGATCTCAATCATATGATCTATTATGCATTTGCCAATTATACTCCACATGTTTCACCATAAAATATTGCCACTATCGAATCTAATACATAGAAGATATGCAATCTAGATGTCACTGTGAATACATCTAATGTGGACACATACATCATAAGTGTTAAAATACCAATGTAATCACTTCTTCTCTCAAAAACTATTATTATACCACCCGAGGTTCCTACTACCATGTCTATTTCGGAAGTGGGTAGGGATTTATACATCCCTGAGAACACATCTCATTTGGACTCAAATGTCAATATGGATGCAAAGTTCCCTGTTGATTCTTCAACAGTTCTTCTATCATCATATTTACCATTCAAATTTTCATTGCTCATTCGCAACATTCTCCAACATATGCTAATATTCATATTCAACTAATTACTACCTTGTTTTCTTCTCAATTTACATATCAAGGAAAGGAAAGTCCTTATACTATGGAAGAAGATGATGATAATGAAGGTTTTGGTTTTAGTGAGTTGACGTTTGCTGCTAAAGAGTAAGATATAGCTGATGAAGCTATAATGTATAGGAAGCAATACACGATGTTGAACTCGAAGATGAATATGATTCTTCAGTTTATCAACGATTTTACTAGGAATACTTCTTCGTCTGTCAGCAACGAGGAATTGGTATCTTTTCTAAATTCTCATGAATCAAAATTTAAAGGTTTAGTGCAAGGACTGGTGACTGAACTTCATGAGAATATGGATAATATCCCGAAGACAGTTCATAGTGACCTCACTGAGGTTTGCAGATTTGCGAGGGAGCGTCATGTGATTATTGTGAAGAATTTATCCCATTTCATGTTTTGTATTGAACTTACTATAAATTTAGTTCATGATTTGCTCACCTATTAAGTTAAAAAGATTGATGAACTATTTATTGGAGTCCAAAAGAATGTTGAGTGTCTGTTAGGGGCTACATAAACTTTGGTTGAAAATATTCGTGCGTTCAATCTTGAATATAAAGAGCTTTTGAGAAAAAGAAGACATGTGATGAAATATAGTTCAAAGGATTTGAGAAGTCTCTTACTACTTTACAGGAGAAAATATCAAAGGTTGTTGCTACTTATGGAACTTCGATATCTTAAACACATGTCAACCAAGTTGTGTCATCAATTGAAGCTTTTTATAAGTCTCAGCTTGATCCTAACTTGGATCTTGTTTTTTGACTACCCACAAATACTCCATGGGCTACACAAGTTTCATAAAGGGGAGAAAAGGGTGGATCGTTGAAGTTTGGTGGTGAAGAGAAAGACATAATAAATAGGAAAGTTTTTGCTATTCAAATTCCAACTACAACTCCTATAAATCTAGTGCAAACAATGAAAACAACAACAACATCAAATCCAAATATCAAAGTTGATGTATCGAACCTTCAATACAAGAAAGGTTTGGAAATAAACGAAGGTGGAAGCTATTTGATAGTAAATCCTGTTGGTATTGATAATAAAGACAACGGGAATGGGTCTGAACCAACCAGGGAAAAATGATATAAACAAAGTGTGGAATTATGAAATTATAGAATTTGTGGCATTTGGAGAAGTAGAAACATTTGAGAAGCCGCGAAAGGAAAGTTTCGCAAGTGAAAATTATCTTATGTCTCAATTGATTTCCCTTTCAATCCAATAATGTTCACTTTTATTCGATTCAAACTTGTTAATAACTTTCATGAAGATGAAAATTTCAAGTTCATGAAGATGAGGTTTCATGTTGTTTTGGGACAAAAAGAAGAATAAGTTTGGAAATTGAAAAAGATTATCAAGTTAATCTCCATATCGAAGGATGTTCTCTTTGAAGAGAGATTGTTGAACTATCGATACAAGATAATGATCACATTATCTTTTATGATCAAGTCTTTTGATGACAAGTATGTGACAGACAAGAAGGTGTATTTGATTGCATATGTGTACCTTAAGAATTACATCGACTGCTATTTAGTACACCTTGGAGTATCTGATTTTGAGATAACGAAGGTCTACAAAACCCTAGAGAACACAATTGATAATGTGGACATGGAGCTGTATGAGGATGGGGAGATTCTTTGGAAACCTTTGGGAGTACTTTTTCAAGGAAATAAGATCAAAGAAAAATAAAAGAAGCATTTCTTTTTCACAAATGTGAAGGATATGTAATCTACAACAAACTTAAAAGATATTTTGTTCAAAATTGCAAATTGTAAAAAGAAATCTGAAGCTGAAAGACAAGAGATTCACAACAATGTTTGTTGGTACTTAGAGATAAGGAAGACAATCATGGAAGCAGTGAAGACATTACCAACAATTTGAAGACTTAAATAATATTCATAAAGGAGGAGAAAATAGAGTTCATAAGTTGCGAATTTATTCTTATGCGAAGTCATGTATTGCAATGTCAGTGGTAGTGTAGCTGTCTATATCTAAGTTTACGTGACTTTGATATATCTATGTATTTCTAGAAGCATCTAGTCTTTGTACTTAATGTCTAAGTCTCCTAGTATATTTTTTATATGTTGATAGCACTATAAATAGTGTTGCAAAATACGTTACTAATATACTTCTCACTTTTATTTCTCAAGCATGTAGTTGTGCTTGCCTTCTAGATAACGAGATCTTAAACAAATTTAATTTTCTTGTATTCATCTTACTATTCGAAACCAATACTTGATTGAATTCTTGACTCTTCATGAAAGTTGAGTGTAGAAAATCAAGAAAATGAAGAAGGATATTGATCTTAATTGCAAAGTCCTAGGTCTTTGGACGTTGCGTGAAAACATGGGAATGTTGTTGACATGTATATTTCCTGGAAACACTCAAGTATGGGTAAATGATTCCAATTTGTTTGAGTTTTTATGGTAGAAATGAAGATGCATTGACACAAAGATTATCGTCCATTTAGATTGGAAACTTTCATAATTTTTTCCTTTATTGGCAAGGTCCTAACAAATTGAAAAACAATATGAATGTTGTATGGTTAAAAATATGGGTGATGATCATAAGAATGAGCCTGTCTTATGCAAAGACAATATGTGAAATGGTAGTGAAAAGTAACCAACAAGGTCAGTAAGAGTGGAAAAGAAGATCATTCTTGATAACAAGGGATTTCGTGTGGAAAATTGGACTTCTGTTGTATTAGTAAAATTTCCATCACAGCTACTCGATTTCCTATCGTCGACGTTATGTTCCATTCATCTGTTCAGATGTTTTCGTTCTGATTGTCGTTAATCTTTTCTGTTTCCCAGGTGTTCATCGTCGTAGTTAGCCCCCCTCTGGAAATCGTCGTCGCCTCCATCTTGTCAGGTAGCTTAATGGCTTTTAAATGCTAATTATCAAAATCAGCTTTTCGAAATGGTTGTTGATCTGTGTCTTACCCACCAATCATATATGTCCAACTGTGCGTGTGAGAGAACACATGTAAAACGGTGTAAATGGTTTGTTCATTTCTGTATTTTTTCCTGAGATTTGGCGACATCTCAACATCGTTCAGTACAACGTTTTAATTTGTGTTGGATTTTGCTTACAGATTCCAAGAGGAGGAATGTCAGGAAGGAGAAATATAGGGCTTCTTCCCGACATATTTTAAAAGGGTGCGATTAAAGCAGGCGAACACATCTGCACTTACAGAGCTTAGTTTGCTTACTCTCCCCATGGTATCAATTCTCCCTCGCTCTCTTTCCCTGTATATGTTTGTACGTCAAATATGTTGTTGATCCATACCATAGTTGACAAATTTCTACAATTTCTCATCCATTTCGATTTGGAATGTAGGATTTGTTATAACTTTTGATGACATGAGTTTCCATTGTGTACTTTATTAGTTATTCACTTATGGTGGTGAATGTGCAGATGCTTTTAAAAATAATAGGATGTGGTTCGATCGAGTTGGCAGTTCAGGTGTTCGTTGAAATGTAATACAAATGCATTTCTCTTTTTCCTGCCATTGAACATTCTGGTAACCGGTAAGTTTCCGTTCGTTTTCTAGGTATTTTGAAATATGAACTTTGTGTTCTAGATTGCCTTTTAATTGATAACTTTTTGATGAAATCTCTCTTTCTTTAATGTAAATATGGTGTATCTTGTATAAATAACCATCATGAAACTGATGTATAAATTGGTATGACGATTGATACCAACAGTAGCTTTTGAGGTGTTCTTTTTTTTTTTTCAATAATTTTCATCATAATGTGTGCCTTTTATTATTCATCTAATCTTTTTATTTGTAGGGTTCCGGCGAAGTAGTAACAACAGGTATATATGTTGGTTTCTTGGGTGGCAGGTGAGAACTTATCAATGTTATCAAAGCTTATAAAAAGCTTAAAGAGCTGTTTAATTGTTATAAAATGTTTTTGAACATTTCAACACACTTCCATTCTTAAAGATTCTGCTTTTTATTGGGATGTAGGTATGTGAAGCACTTTTCACAATTTTGTTCTTAAAAATTACCATTTTACGCCAATCTCTGTGTGTCCACTATGTAGACCTGCTGCCTTACCTCCCCCATCAGGCAACATATGAATTTTAAATGATTTCTCTTCAATTTACCGAAATCGCATAATTGTTATTCCTGTTCTTTAAATCAATGTTTGTGATTTTTAGCCTTTTTTCCTCAAAACATACCATCTCTATTATCTTTTTTACAGGTCATTCACAACTCACCAGATTTTAAGGTTTTTTTACAGCTAAGGAATTTAATTTATCCCTACCAAGGTAATGCATATTTTTGCATTTTGTGAAGATTGTTATTGACTTTTTTATGTAATAGATATGAATGAAATTTGTTTTAATATATTGGCATAGGCTGTAGCTCTTAACTTTGAGGATTTCTACAATATGCAATATGTAAACATGTATAACATATTCATGGTCCAATTGCAGGTATATGCAAATGTGGGACGAATTTATCTACATTAACTAATTCTTTTATGTCATTATTATGCATATGGTTATGTATAGTCATTATTCTGATATATTCTCAGACAACTCTCTTCGTGATGATCAGATTACATCTTCTTCCAATAGTGATGGGTAATGTTTTTTTTCCTTTGTTCTTACATTGTTAAAGAATATGAAGAAAGGCATTATCTGATAGATCATTAAAGCTAGTTTCTGTTTTTTTTTTTTTCAGTTTATTTCTTAGGTGGGAGAATCCATTAATGGGGTGGACATTGACTGGAGACCTGTATGCTAATTTTGGTGAAGCATAACTTAGTTTTGAAAGTGAGGATGCAGCCAAATCATTTGTTGAGAAGCATGGCTAGGAATATGTAGTATATATGCTCCTACCATTCTTCATTTATTCAAAACAGCAAAAAATAAAAGTATAATTGACTGATAAATGTAAAAAATAGCAAGTTGCTTTTGTTGAGATGTTTGTTACAACATTATACTTTCTAAAATCCATCCAATTATAGCAATGTCAATTTTAATGTCATAATAAGAAGAAATTATGAAATACAATGTATGCTTGAACCAAGTATTTCAATATTTATTTGGAACCTTTTAGATCATTTAAAACCTCATAAGGATGGAAACAACTCAAATTTGTCTTTTGGTCCATTTTTTAGACAAACACCCAAAGATATGTTGGGGGTTGATTTTGAAATTAATAACCATGCCCTCAAAATTTCCAAAGTTGACCTTCACTACAAAACACTTATGCTTGACAATTCTAATTATACGCTTTTAATTATCATATAGATAATTCCATGAATTCAATTTATAGTTTATATAGATCATTCCATGAATTCAATTTATAGTTTATATTGAAGAAAACTTAATGTTCATGTTGCAGAAACACAACATTTAATGAATGGTCTTCAGTGGGCAGTCATTGACTTAAACCCTGGTTGTAACCGAACCACGCAGAGCGGGGTACCCCAGCTAGTTAAGATTAATTGAAGACTCTTGGGAACCTAGTATGTACTTGGCTTTTGTAATGTTCTTTTTCTTAACTATGATTGCGATCCTGAATTGTAACACCTAGAATTTATAAACTCTGAAAATACTTTTGATGCATGACTATATGTCATGAAGTTTATACAACCATAATTTATCATTGTTGATAAAAGAGTGGGTTGTTACAAATGTGGTTCGGGGCGGAGGTGGCTATCTCTAAAATGGAGGATAAACAGATGAAACATTTTACGATACACATTTGAAAAAAATTAAATATATGAATAAATGAAAATTTTTCCCTCTTTAGTTCACAAGTTTTATTAATTTGGCTTGATGGAAATCTCATCATTTACCAAGCATTTAATGGAACTCATAAGAAGACACTAATTTTAGAAACCACCGTGTGCAAACCATAGGGATAAAACACATCATTTTTTGAAAACTTGAACTCATTCTATAGAGTGGTTTTAACCATAATGATCGAAAGTAATTTATTTTATTATTATTTTTTATTTTTTCATAATATCTTTATTAGTAATTTTACTTTTAGATATTTAACTAATTTAATATTATTTATTATTATGTTTATAATTGATTTTTATCTTTATATATTTAAGTTTTCATTTTTATTTTTTCTCCTTTGTGATAAAGTTTTTTTTATTTTTTATTTTATTCATTTATTTATTTATTTATTATTGTCGTCTTTGCATTTGAATGTGTTTTCTCTCTTTGCTCCTAGGTATTTTTTTTTTGGTTCCTTTTGCTTCAAAGTACGTTTTACATATAATCTATCAAGAATTTGAACAATCTAAATTTGTTGGCTTATTTTATAAATCTTTTGGTTATAAAGTACGTGTTATGGGTTACAATATATGTATGAGCAATCACAATATTCTAATACAAGTTAATCCGATGATAATTATGGTATTATGGTGATATTTTCTTGTCTTGGTTATGGTGAAAATGATTTATGCATAGTTTATATTTACTTGATTCAAGAGTTAAACAATTATAAAGAAGAATATGAAATTATCTTTGAAACTGAATATTTGGCTAACATATACAAATCATTAAATTTCTTTCGCGTAAATATACGTGCACCTACTGAGTATTGGCTAAATATAGGAATGGGTATCATGACTCCGAAATATGATGTAATTTACACATTTTGAGCAAGAAAAGAAAGACCACATATTTACCAATTCAGTCATATCCCCCACCGT